TTTGAGCGTGGATGGGGTTCTGCCCTTATCCAGTGGCTCTTTAAGGAAGGAGAGAACTTCCGGAACCCCTCAGTCAGGGGGTTAAAAAGCCTCGAGCTTTGCACCAGCCAAAAAACACAGACCATTTTGAGGAATAGAGTCATCTAGTAGACGGGGCTCTAGCCGGCGTGATCTTGTTAAACACTCCCTCTGGGAGGTTAGCAGGTACCCGTTGATGGCCCATGCATGTAGGGACCACAGTTCCGGGAGAGGATGCCAAATCGAGCCCTTGGCCTGAGAGAGGGGGTCTTTCCTCACTGGTATTGGCCATGGGGCAGTGCTTGTCAGCTACATCAGAAGAGGGAACCAAGCTTGGTTTTTCTAGAGCGGAGCCACAAGTAGCACTGGACATCCATTTTCCCTAATCCATTCCAATACCTGAGGGAGGAGCGAGACGGGGGGGAAAGCATAGAGTGGGCAGTGGGGCCAAACGTGGGCCAGTGTATCCCTGCTCTTGGAGAAAAACTTTGGACAGTGAGCGTTTTATTTGGAGACAAACAGGTCTACCTGCGCTCGGCCGAATGTCTCCCACAGCAGTAGGACCGTCTGCGGGTGCAGAGACCATTCTCCTGCTGGACATTGTTTCTGGACAGTCTGTTGGGTCCCAGATTCTGGTGACCAGGCACATGTGCTGCTCTCAGTGAGAGCATTTTATTTTCTGAGAACCTAGCATTTTCTGAAACCTTCTGAGCGGGACTATAGTGCCGCAGCGGAAGGATTTCATGGTGCGCTGAATGTTCAGTCTGCGCTCTGGCGAGAGTCGTTGACAGCAAATCTAGTTTTGTGCCCAGAAAATACATTTTCTGACTGAGAGACAGCAAACTTTTCGCCCAATTGACTTTGAGACCCAGATTCTTGAGATGTTCGAGTAATATGGTCCTTTGTTCTATGAGCTCTCAGTGTGATAGAGCTAGTGTAACCCCTACACCCGGGTCCCACTTGACCCGCTCCGAGTGGGCCTCGAACCCGGGTCTCCGGCATGAGAATCAGGCCGGCTTACAAAGAGGCTAAAGACTGCAGCCTCTAGCGTCTGTCGCTAGAGCGCCTATTGAGATCAGGGGAGTGAGGTTTACTCGCACAGCAACTACTAGCTGGCCTCCGTTACACTAGAACCAGCCAATCGTCCAAGTAGTTCAAAACTCACATGCCCTGATGTTTCAGGGGTGTGAGAGCTGTGTCCATGCACATTGTAAATGTACGGGGTGATTGGGACAAGCCGAACGGTAGGACTGTGTATTGATATGCCTCGTCCCTTGAAGGCGAATCTCAAGAATCACCTGTGACGTGACGCTATTTGTATTTGGAAATAACCAGAAGACCTCATTCAGATGGATTTTATGTGCCTATTGAGATCAGGGGAGTGAGGTTTACTCGCACAGCAACTACTAGCTGGCCTCTGTTACACTCACCCCCCTAAACCTCACTCTCTTCCGGGTCACGGCACCAATGTAATCCCTACACCTGGGTCCCACTCGACCCGCTCCGAGCGGGCCTCGAACCCGGGTCTCCGGCATGAGACTCAGGCACTCTTACAAGGAGGCTAAAGACTGCAGCCTCTAGCGTCTGTCGCTAGAGCGCCTATTGAGATCAGGGGAGTGAGGTTTACTCGCACAGCAACTACTAGCTGGCCTCCGTTACACTAGAACCAGCCAATCGTCCAAGTAGTTCAAAACTCGCATGCCCTGATGTTTCAGAGGTGTGAGAGCTGTGTCCATGCACATTGTAAATGTACGGGGTGATTGGGACAAGCCGAACGGTAGGACTGTTTATTGATATGCCTCGTCCCTTGAAGGCGAATCTCAAGAATCACCTGTGACGTGACGCTATTTGTATTTGGAAATAACCAGAAGACCTCATTCAGATGGATTTTATGTGCCTATTGAGATCAGGGGAGTGAGGTTTACTCGCACAGCAACTACTAGCTGGCCTCTGTTACACTCACCCCCCTAAACCTCACTCTCATCCGGGTCACGGCACCAATGTAATCCCTACACCTGGGTCCCACTCGACCCGCTCCGAGCGGGCCTCGAACCCGGGTCTCCGGCATGAGACTCAGGCACTCTTACAAGGAGGCTAAAGACTGCAGCCTCTAGCGTCTGTCGCTAGAGCGCCTATTGAGATCAGGGGAGTGAGGTTTACTCGCACAGCAACTACTAGCTGGCCTCCGTTACACTAGAACCAGCCAATCGTCCAAGTAGTTCAAAACTCGCATGCCCTGATGTTTCAGGGGTGTGAGAGCTGTGTCCATGCACATTGTAAATGTACGGGGTGATTGGGACAAGCCGAACGGTAGGACTGTGTATTGATATGCCTCGGCCCTTGAAGGCGAATCTCAAGAATCACCTGTGACGTGACGCTATTTGTATTTGGAAATAACCAGAAGACCTCATTCAGATGGATTGATATACACCAGTCTCCTTGGCAATTCTGCACGAGGATTTTCCTGGTTGTGAGTATTCTGAACTGGCATTTCACAAGCACTTTGTTCAGTTGCTTTAGATCTAGATATTCGCGGAATTATCAACTTTATGTGGGTTGTTCCTTGGCACGGTATAGCGAGGATAAATCCAATGTTCTGAGGAGAATGCCAGTCACTGCGCCGGTGTGCATACTTTCATTCAGAATCACAGATTGTTCTTTTTGGAAGTATGACCAACATAAGAATTTTCAGCAGTAAATGTCATCTGAACAAGTAAGTAACATCTACTTTTGTTCTGACCAACTAAGGGAAAAAAAGCATTGCAGTAAATCAAGCTGATTAAATCTAAAGAAAGAAATCGTGCAAATTACACTTTTTTTTCTCAAATTGTTAATGTTAACAACATCAGCATTGCATGACTACATTTAATGCCCTTCTGATATTTGTCCTTGTTTTCACATGGGCCCTGTTGCAGACTGCAGTCTCTTTTTACAAACTCTCAGTCCAAAGTCTTTTGCATTTTACAACGGGTAAATCTCCAGTTGTCACTGGTGATTGTCATTTGAACCTTTCTGGATCCACCATCAAATTGATAAGTTTAATTATATTATATATTATATTATGTATAATATATAATAATATTTATATTATATAGTGCTGTGAGAAAAGGTTATAAATCTCCACCTCCAGCATCCTCACACGCAATATAGCCTACTAGCCGAGACTCCTTCTTTATGTGTAGAGATGTGACGCAATGATGCAAAGACATGCTCGAATCTCCACCGGAAATCCACCAGTACCACTGAATTAAAAACATTATTACAAGCTTACCGCTTTGAATCGAGCTAAGGCAAGCAAATAGTTTTGAACACTGGCTGGTTATGTACTTACTAAAAAAATATTTTCAATAATTTTTAACCCAAAAAAAGTTACGGAATGCAGCTTTAAATAATATTATTTAAAAAAAAAGACATAAATGTAATAGCAAATAAAATCATAACAAATTATGCATACAAGCAATGTTGGAAATAACACATAAAGACAAATAACAAAAAATGTATTTGTTTATAAGTGACTGTTTTTGAGAAGCTGTAGAGATTTCTCAGTGCATTGCAGTGACTTTAAGGATACATGATTGCAGTAAGCACCAGATGGCTGGCAGGGATGTGCGCAACATGGTCACAGAGGCATTACCAGCCATCTCGCTCCAGCTCTGACTGTGATAGCCTGCTGAATAAGAAGCTAGGCATGGAACCCCCACTTCCAGCAAATCAATAGCAAAGTCCAACAAAACATAATGGAGCTTGATGATAATCAGTGAGCATGTTTGGATGGGGACTTTACTTGGCTGAATCTCATCAAGGTGAGTCACTTTCGTTCCAAGACCAGACGGGAGATGGAACGAGCAGACGGCATGTTTGGATTCAGTTGTGCGGCTCTAATGTGCGGAGACGTGGCTAAACCAAAGCAGCATGTCTCGAGACTTCAAGCAATTAAGAGATCCAGGCAAGCGGAAACGCAGTGGTCAGGAGAGTGGCGGACTCTTTGATCATGCACTCATCTCATTTTAATCTCACAACACCTCTGCTCTGATGGCCATGCTCTACTAATGAAGGAACCAATCACATGGCAGTTGCTTCAATGCTTTTAGGGGTGTGGTCCTGGTCAAGACAATCTCCTGAACTCCAAACTAAATGTCAGAATGGGAAAGAAGGGTGATTTAAGCAATTTTGAGCAGGGCATGGTTGTTGGTGCCAAAATGGGCTGGTCTGAGTGTTTCACAATCTGCTCAGTTACTGGGATTTTCACACACAACCATTTCCAGGGTTTACAAAAAATGGTTTGAAAAGGGAAAAACATCCAGTATGCGGCAGTCCTGTGGGCAAAAATGCCTTGTTGATTAGGTCAGAGGAGAATGGGCCGACTGATTCGAGCTGATAGAAGAGCAACTTTGACTGAAATAACCACTTGTTACAACCGAGGTATGCAGCAAAGCATTTATGAAGCCACAACACGCACAACCTTGAGGAGGATGGGCTACAACAGCAGAAGACCCCACTGGGTACCACTCATCTCCACTACAAATAGGAAAAGGAGGCTACAATTTGCAAGAGCTCACCAAAATTGGACAGTTGAAGACTGGAAAAATGTTGCCTGGTCTGATGAGTCTTGATTTCTGTTGATACATTCAGATGGTAGAGTCAGAATTTGGCGTAAACAGAAAGAGAACATGGATCCATCATGCCTTGTTACCACTGTGCAGGCTGGTGGTGGTGGTGTTTTCTTCATGCCCTGGATGTGCATCCCACAAATGTACATCAACTGTAAGATGCTATCCTATCAATATGGGCCAACATTTCTAAAGAATGCTTTCAGCACCTTGTTGAATCAATGCCACATAGAATTAAGGCAGTTCTGAAGGCGGAAGTGGGTCAAACACAGTATTAGTATGGTGTTCCTAATAATTCTTTAGGTGACTGTGTAAGGAATAATTGACGACAGGCTGTTGAATTAATATATATAATGCATAGCATACGCTGACTACAATGGTGTAAACCAAACTTACTATTTATTGTAATAAGTAATATGTAATAATATATATTTAAACCATTATATATTCAAAGGTAACAGCACAAAGCTAAGGTCAAGGGTTCAATTCCCATGAAACACATGGTGATAAAATGCACACATTAATAATCTGTGTCGTCACCATTATATAGCGCTTCATACAGACTTTTTCAAAGCAGCTTCACAGTAGTAAAAAACAAAAAAATATGCCATGATGCAAACATGACATATGAGACAAGTTCAAATTCTGCTGTAAAACAGCTCTAAAAAGACAAATGAATCATTTTTAAGCTCAAGTCAGTTGAGTGTTGATTCAGTTCAGTTCAATAACTATAAGTTATTAATTTATGTTAATAATTGTATATAAGTTAATCAATTATGAGGCCAGTTCAATGCAGATGTACAGGTGACAATAGTGTCGTTACTCAGCTCAAGTCAGTTCAATGTTGATTCAGTTCGTTTCAATCAGTGTCGAGGAATCATGAATTCGAGGTATAAATCATCTCTACAATAGAGTCGTCTTCCAGCTTAATTCAATTCAAGTTTTCTTATCTTGCGATAATGTCTGTTTTGTCAAATTGATAATATTACTGAATATGAATGTCCTTGAAACCCCAACTAAGCAAGCCAAATGAAAAAGTGGAAGGGAACCCAAAATTCATCAGGTAACAGAGGTGAAGAAAACAGACTCAGGAGGGAACAAATTCTCCTCTGGACAAATAAACACACAAAGTATGATTTTTAATTCCAGGCTGCATCACAGGTCAGATTTGTGGCTTGAAATGATTCAAACGTTGTGCATCCAGCTTCTTCAGGTTGAAGATTGGGATATGACACACCAGCTTTGTGTAACAGTGCGGCTAATGGACATCTGGATTATTGTTTTGTTCCCTCATAAACGTGAGAGAGCAGCTTGCAGAAAGGGGACCTGTGCAGTTACATGGGCTCGATGGAGCCAGACAGGTCAGCACTTATGACTTTGATCTATTCAATCATAATGGAAAAGGCTAGAAATGTCAGAGGATTGTAGCTCATTGTACAAAGCGACTTACTACACTGACTACACTGTAACCCTTCAAACTTTCAGCTACCACATGTTTTAGATTTTATTAGACACGTTGCCTACAATAATAGAGTGATTTAAAGGAGTGACTGTTTTGTGTTTTTCGAATTCATTTCTCTGAGTAGTTTATATTATTATTATTATTATTGTTATTATTATTTTCAGTTCAGTTCAAACTCTGTTTATTCATCTCAGAGCGTGACAATGTTTTGTAATAATTAGTATGTGTAAAAAATAACTCAATAATATTATAAAAAATGTATTACGTTTTTTCATTTATAAATGACCTAATTAAAAATTTTATTGCTGCAATGTTCTAAAAAAAAAAAAAAAAAAAAAAACGTTCAAATGTTAAAAACCCCTTCAGGCATTATTTATTTTTATTTATTTATTTGTTTTATTTGAGCTGTAACCATTCAGCTCAAAAGGAGAGGGCCGAAGCAACAGAGCATCACATGTGTGAAACTAACAGCACATTTTCTGATAGTTCATGGACAAAGTTGCTTTATTTAGTGAAAAAAATACTTTGAGACTGGTGTGTCATCTGTCTCCCTTTTCTTCTGTTTTAAAGTTTCATGTTACGAGTGCTTTTTTTCTTACAAAAAAGCTGAGCAGTTTCTGTTTCGCAGTGACAAAGAGAAAAGCTTGCCGTATGTTTCCTGATGGAAATGTTTGTAGCGCTATAAAAAAATTCAGTTCTGTCACTTGTTCTTCTTGTGCACGGCAGTGTAACTTTCTTAAATGATGAAAAACTTTCTTAATAACAAATGTTTGAATAAAGTTTTTGCTTTGAAATGACATTGTTATACTTTTCCATTTAGATGTATTCATTTGCTAAACTGCTAAATTTGTGCCAGAGATAGCCTATATTCCAGTCAAAACATTGTTGAGGTTTTCCTTTGTTTGTTTCAGAGCATGTTTGAGCTTTTATGACATCAGGCAGTAGATTAAACAACATAGTAAAGTTTTGGCAAAAAAATCTTTTTTTTTTAATAGAAATATTGGTCTGATTTTTTGTCCTATTCATTTTTGGGGGCGAAACTGTGTAATAGAAGTTCCATTTAGCTCCAAAGTGTATTGGCTTTGTGAGGTAATTTAACATCATTTGGTCTGTTCCGGCATTAATTAATATGAATACTTGGGAGGAAAAAGGACCCTTTATCACTGACCATTATGGCCACCCACCCATTCTTTAACCCATTCAGACCCTGTGTCCATTACAATGGACATCACATGTCAGACCCCTTTTTTAACTTCTGGAGCATTTCACCTAGTTTAAAGCCTGCAGTCCATGAGATTGGACGTTTGACATCCAATCAAATGCCAGTAAAGCTTTGCAAGTAGTAATTATATATATATATATATATATATATATATATATATATATATATATATATAAAACTCTGCATTGAAGAGAAGCATGGCAGCACTTCACTCCAAACACAGAAGCAAGCAACATTTTCTAAGGTGTATTTACATTTTGTATATATTTTTGCCAGTATTTCATAGTTTGTATGTAAAATAGAAAGATTTAACTTATTAATTAAAGTTAAAAATCGACTGTAGAGTTGCACATTTTAAATCAGGTCTGTTAAATGTGTCTGCCCATTAGAATGGACAGTAGGTTTGAAAGCCTGTTACTGAAGTCACATTTTCATTGATGCTGATTGAAATTTCTTTTATAATATATATATATATATATATATGAATATTTTATGAATTAATATATGAATATTTGAATATTTATTCAAATATGAATATTTTAAATATTTGATATTAATATATATATTTTTTATGGATAAATGCATTTTTATGATGGATAGATGCACTTCTATCATGGATAGATGCACTTTTATGGACTTTCAAAACAGAAACAACCATTTACAGCCAATATAAAGCTTGGAAGGGCCAGGACATTGTTTAATATAACTCTGGTTATTTTCGTCTGAGAGAAGAATGTCATATACACCAAGGATGGCTAGAGGCCAGGGTGATTAAATCATGGTCTAATTTAATTTTTGGGGTGAACTAAGCCTTTAAAGGTATAGTTCAACCACAAATTATATTTGTCATCTCTAGTAGTGATGAGTAACATTAGAGCAACTCAAAATTTCGACACGGAAAAAAGACAGTGAAAAAAGTTTAAAAAAAAAAATAAATAAATAATAAGTTTCTCCAATCTTCTTGAAACTCTGGATTCTGATAGAGGGCCATGAGACTTAGACCTGAGTGCAAAAATGGAGGCTCTAGACCCTTTCAGAGCTGAGATATTGAGATCCCATGTGGCGTTTCTGCCATTATAAATGTCTCAATATCTCAGCTCTGGAACGGTCTAGAGCCTCCATTTTTGCACTCAGGTCTGAGTCTCATGGCCCTCTATCGGAATCCATAGTTTCAAAAAGATCAGAGCAACTCAAAATTTTGACCTGAAAAAAACGACAGTGGTACCCCTTTCATTTTTTTTTGTTTGTTTTTTTTTTGTGCGAAAAAATAAGTTTCTCCAATCTTCTTGAAACTCTGGATTCTGATACAAGGCCATGAGACTTAGACCTGAGTGCAAATATGGAGGCTCTAGGCCCTTTCAGAGCTGAGATATTGAGATTCCATGTAGCGTTTATGCCATTATAAATGTCTCAATATCTCAGCTCTGGAAGGGTCTAGAGCCTCCATTTTTGCACTCAGGTCTAAGTCTCATGGCCCTCTATCAGAATCCAGAGTTACAAGAAGATCAGAGCAACTCAAAATTTCGACCCGGAAAAAAAACCGACAGTGGTACCCCTTTCGTGTTTTTTTTTTTTTTTTTTTTTTTGTGCGAAAAAACAAGTTTCTCCAATCTTCTTGAAACTCTGGATTCTGATAGTGGGCCGTGAGACTTAGACCTGAGTGCAAAATTGGAGGCTCTAGACCCTTCCAGAGCTGAGATATTGAGATATTTATAATGGCATTAATGCTACGTGGGATCTCAATATCTTAGCTCCGAAAGGGTCTAGAGCCTCCATTTTTGCACTCAGGTCTAAGTCCCATGTCCCTCTATCAGAATCCAAAGTTTTGAGAAGATTGGAGAAAGTTAATTTCTCGTTGAAATTTTGAGTTTCTCTGATCTTCTTGAAACTCTGGATTCTGGATAGCTAACAGGGGAGCTCCAGTAAGTACATGTAAAGTAACGTTTCTAAAGTGGATTTACATAACCATACATCTTAAATTCTTATTTAAAATGTCTGTTTACATCAGGAAGGAAAATAATGTATAAGTATTGCAGGTGAGCACATCCCAACATGAAAAATACATCTGAGTGTAACGTTATGTGTGCTATTATGTAGGATAATTCACTGTTGTCACTTGTCAACACGGTTTACATTTGACAAAAAAAACAAATCTATAAAGTAACTAAACATGATATATATTTAATTTGTCCCTTATTAGTGTTTATATATTGAGGAACATTTAAGTTGGATTAAAAGAGAGTTAACACATCAACCTCAGCATGTAGGCTAAATGCAGTGTTGAGCTCGTAATGTGAATCTTGTCTATATGTTACAGGGACAGAAGAACACGTGTCGCGTGTGTTTATCCGGTGGAGAGGCTCATGATGCTGAATGCTGTCATCAAAGGCTTTGAGTGAGTATACTACAGAAATGGCTAACAAAATCTATTAAATCTTAAGTTGTAGTTTATTTGAATTATTGTAAATTCAAGTAGAGACTTTACAACACTTTTCTGAGTCTTGATTTCTGTGCATTTGCTGCAGAGCTTTTGTGGTGGAGCAGGACCTGCAAGGAAAGATGATGGCAGCACTTGTTGGGGAAAAAAAGGTTTTAGGGATTTTACTCAAATATAAAGTAAGGTTGTTTTTAATACATAAATCAAATGACATTGTGCTGTTAAAAAGACTGCTTTTGTATAATGTTTGTGCATTTTTGTAGGATCTGAAATGTCTGCAGACTGGTGTGAGCACTGAGGATGAGGAGCCCAGAGCTGAATCCTGGAAGTGGTGCCATGGATGAGACCCTCCATCGCTCCACCTGCCCTTATTGCTTCAGATTGTGAAGCACAGCACAGCAACAAGCTCTGGGACGAAGGCACAGTCCCCTCTGGTGAATTCATCAGAATAAAGCCACAGAATGGGTACCTCTGTGTTGAGTCGGCAGTAGGATGTGGTGTTCAGCGGCTGTAAATACATGCTTGTAGCTTGAATAAAGCTTTGTTTCATGTGTTGTTGACTTGTATATGCATTTATTTATTGTGCTGGTTGTTTTACTCATTTAGTCATGTTTCTTATTGTTGTCAGTATATAAAATATAATTATTTATTTAATGTATGTATTAATTCATCGATTGACTGACAATTGAGATGTTTCACTGCATTTGTCCATATAAATGTATTCATGCATAACTGTTATATGACAAAACAAATTACATTTGCTTGTTTTATTAAATTATATTTTTAGTATGTAAAAAAATTATACAATTAAGTATTGGTCAGCATTTAATATTATTATTTTGTTTAAGTTTTGGGGTGGGCTAACAATGCAATTCATTCTGAGGTAATATTAATTTTTAAGGTGTAATACATTTTTTTTGAGTATAAAATCAACAGTTTTCTCCAAAAGCGATCTTCGAGCGGCTGCCCGTCTCCTTTGTGCAGACATTACAAACACAGAGGAAAACTGTTCTAGGTTGTGCTGTTGAGTTAGTGCATGATTCGTCTGTGCATGTTATTCCAATAAAAATAAAACAAACATTTAGTCTGGTAGGAAGGGGGGGGGGGGGGGGGGGGTTCACCTGCACCCGAAAGATATATTTTTTTAACCTAGTTTTTTGTAATCCTTAAGGTGTCTAGAAAATGAATTTTGATGTTCCCCGCGCAAATTTGTGTCCCATATGTGATTTTTTGTATCATCTTTTGTGTCCGTGCTTGATTTTTGGCTGCGGAAAATGAAAACTTTAAACCTACATAGAATCTGAACAATACATCCTACAGACACAATCTACCCCATTTTCTCTTCGTCTTTGCATGAGGAATTGATAGATATGAGGATTGTCTTGATTAGATGATGTATAGTGCATAAAAACTCAAATAAACACTAAAAAATTTAAAAAAAAATGGTGACATTGGATCACTGGAACTCCTGTCCTATGGACCCTTCTGATATATGTTTTCTAACTTTTGTGTTTTTACATTTTTTAGGGTGTCTAAGAAGCAAATGTTGATGATCCCCACCTGAAATATTGTCACATGTATGTATTTTCTGGCTATATTGGTTGCCACCCTGAATATCCAAAAAAGCACATATAGGCAGTCTGTTTTTCTCCTTTAGTTTTCGATTTGATAAATCTCCTCCATTTTTCATAACTGGCTATGTAAATTATTGTTGAGCACATGTTGAGCTTGTTCCCAATGTTCACTTGTTGCACATTAAAATATAACATAGATATTTTAATTAAATAAAACATTTTAAGATACAATGTGTTCAAAAAATATGCATTAATTAAAAATCACATCATGTAATTAGGATTCACTGGTAATGTGAGGTTTATTTAACATACTTTTATGATGGATAGATGCACTTTTATGATGGATAGATGCACTTTTATGATGGACAGATGAACTTTTATGATGAATAGATGCACTTTTATGATGGACAGATGCACTTTTATGATGGACAGATGAACTTTTATGATGGATAGATGCACTTTTATGATGGATAGATGCACTTTTATGTTGGATAGATGCACTTTTATGATGGACAGATGCACTTTTATGATGGATAGATGCACTTTTATGATGGACAGATGCACTTTTATGATGGATAGATGCACTTTTATGATGGACAGATGAACTTTTATGATGGATAGATGCACTTTTATGATGGATAGATGCACTTTTATGATGGACAGATGAACTTTTATGCACATTTATGATGGACAGAGGCACTTTTATGATGGACAGATGCACTTTTATGATGGACAGATGCACTTTTATGATTGATAGATGCACATTTATGATGGACAAATGCACTTTTATGATGGACAGACGCACTTTTATGATGGACAGATGCACTTTTATGATTGATAGATGCACTTTTATGATGGATAGATGCACTTTTATGATGGACAGATGCACTTTTATGATGGACAGATGCACTTTTATGATGGACAGATGCACTTATGTCGTGAGCTTAGAATTATAAGGTTCTATCTCCGTTTCGGTTAGTTCTGAGATATTGAGCATCAAAGTTTTTACATCCCAGCTGGCAAAACTGTTATGTAGTATAATCTTCTATTATAGCTTTATCTATTAATCTTTTTTTTACAAAAATAACACCACACAGGCATAAATAAACACCTAATGGATCAGATTATGTCAAAAACTCAATTTTGACCAAAAGTGGAGATAGAACCTTATAATTCTAAGCTCACGATGTGATGGATAGATGCACTTTTATGATGGACAGATGCACTTTTATGATGGATAGATGCACTTTTATGATGGATAGATTAACTTTTATGATGGACAGATGCACTTTTATGATGGACAGATGCACTTTTATGATGGATAGATGAACTTTTATGATGGACAGATGCACTTTTATGATGGACAGATGCACTTTTATGATGGATAGATTAACTTTTATGATGGACAGATGCACTTTTATGATGGACAGATGCACTTTTATGATGGATAGATGCACTTTTATGATGGATAGATGCACTTTTATGATGGACAGATGCACTTTTATGATGGATAGATGCACTTTTATGATGGACAGATGAACTTTTATGATGGACAGATGAACTTTTATGATGAATAGATGCACTTTTATGATGGACAAATGTACTTTTATGATGGACAGATGCACTTTTATGATTGATAGATGCACATTTATGATGGACAGATGAACTTTTATGATTGATAGATGCACTTTTATGATGGACAGACGCACTTTTATGATGGACAGATGCACTTTTATGATGGACAGATGCACTTTTTATGATTGATAGATGCACTTTTATGATGGATAGATGCACTTTTATGATGGACAGATGCACTTTTATGATGGACAGATGCACTTTTATGATGGACAGATGCACTTATGTGATGGATAGATGCACTTTTATGATGGATAGATGTACTTTTATGATGGACAGATGCACTTTTATGATGGACAGATGCACTTTTATGATGAATAGATGCACTTTATGATGGATAGATGCACTTTTATGATGGACAGATGCACTTTTATGATGGACAGATGCACTTTTATGATGAATAGATGCACTTTTATGATGGACAGATGCACTTTTATGATGGACAGATGAACTTTTATGATGGATAGATGCACTTTTATGATGGACAGAAGCACTTTTATGATGGATAGATGCACTTTTATGATGGATAGATGCACTTTATGATGGACAGATGCACTTTTATGATGGATAGATGCACTTTTATGATGGACAGATGAACTTTTTATGCACTTTTATGATGGACAGATGCACTTTTATGATGGACAGATGCACTTTTATGATTGATAGATGCACATTTATGATGGACAGATGCACTTTTATGATGGACAGATGCACTTTTATGATGGACAGATGCACTTTTATGATGATAGATGCACTTTTATGATGGATAGATGCACTTTTCTGATTGATAGATGCACTTTTATGATGGACAGATGCACTTTTATGATGGACAGATGCACTTTTATGATGGACAGATGCACTTATGTGATGGATAGATGCACTTTTATGATGGATAGATTAACTTTTATGATGGACAGATGCACTTTTATGATGGACAGATGCACTTTTATGATGGATAGATGCACTTTTATGATGGATATATGCACTTTTATGATGGACAGATGCACTTTTATGATGGATAGATGCACTTTTATGATGGACAGATGCACTTTTATGATGGACAGATGAACTTTTATGATGGATAGATGCACTTTTATGATGGACAGATGCACTTTTATGATGGATAAATGCACTTTTATGATGGATAGATGCACTTTTATGATGGATAGATGCACTTTTATGATGGACAGATGCACTTTTATGATGGACAGATGCACTTTTATGATGGATAGATGCACTTTTATGATGGATAGATGCACTTTATGATGGATAGATGCACTTTTATGATGGATAGATGCACTTTTATGATGGATAGCACTTTTATGATGGATAGATTAACTTTTATGATGGACAGATGCACTTTTATGATGGACAGATGCACTTTTATGATGGATAGATGCACTTTTATGTTGGATAGATGCACTTTTATGATGGACAGATGCACTTTTATGATGGATAGATGCACTTTTATGATGGACAGATGCACTTTTATGATGGATAGATGCACTTTTATGATGGATAGATGCACTTTTATGATGGACAGATGAATTTATGATGGATAGATGCACTTTTATGATGGATAGATGCACTTTTATGATGGATAGATGCACTTTTATGATGGACAGATGAACTTTTATGCACATTTATGATGGACAGATGCACTTTTATGATGGACAGATGCACTTTTATGATGGACAGATGCACTTTTATGATTGATAGATGCACATTTATGATGGACAGATGCACTTTTATGATGGACAGATGCACTTTTATGATGGACAGATGCACTTTTATGATTGATAGATGCACTTTTATGATGGATAGATGCACTTTTATGATGGACAGATGCACTTTTATGATGGACAGATGCACTTTTATGATGGACAGATGCACTTATGTCGTGAGTTAGAATTATAAGG